CACAAGAGAGGGCTTGCACATTTCGTCACAAATCATGGAGTACACAATGGTATTATTTCTAGTACTCTAAATAATTAGGTTGAAATAGCCCTACGATGAAAAAGTGCAAATAAAATGATCATTTCTCTTTCATTTACAAGTGAACTGATAAAAGAGAAAAACAGCTCTTAGTTTAGGTGTTCACTAGAAATTGTTTAAGATGAGGTGTTTACTGGATGAAAAAAAACAAGCATGCTCATAATTCAGTTGACTTTCTTTTGATGTCACTTGTGATCTTTGGAATGGATTCGCAATTTTTGGATTTGCAACTATGAATCGATCACTCTTCTTTCTGTGATTTTATTTTATTTTTTAAAAATTTTTTAGTGCTTATTTTTGAGAGACAGAGAGAGACCGAGCACAAGTGGGGAAGGGACAGAAAAAGAGAGAGGGAGAACAGAATGGGAAGCAGGCTCCAGGCTCTGAGCTGGAGGCGCTGAGCACAGAGCCCTACGAGGGGCTCGAACTCACGAACTGCGAGATCCTGACCTGAGCCGAAGTCGGCTCGTAACTAACTGAGCCACCCAGGTGCCCCTTATTTCCGTGATTTTAAAAGAAGGAACACAGGCACAGAGTGTTAATGAATCCAAATGTTGACATCAAGAGAAAAGCTTTGGAGGGAAGCAAACTTTGACAAGCATCTATTGAATAAGGCGCACAGCTGGATTTTAGGGATCAGGTAGCCCCCAGTGTTAAGAAATAGCCTCATGGGAGGCAGAAACGTTAAGGCAACTTCCACAGAATGGAGCTATTATCACGGAGGGCCCACCAGCCAGCAGGTGACTGGGTAGAGACAGCTCACGCATAAACTGAGTTCAAAACGATGGGGCAGAGTCAGCCGGACAGAAAAGCAGGGTGAGCACAGGGACGTGAGGGAACAGCACCGATAAAGACACAGAGGGAAGGAGAGCCGGGGTGACCAGGGGCCTGCACGGGCTTCCCCTGCTGATGCTTCAGTACGTGGCTGAGTCGTGCAGGAAGGTGGAAAGTTGGGCCAACAAATAATGGGCCTCGTGTGCCACCAGAGTCACCGCTGGGGGCTAACAGGTTCTCCTAAGGGGACACCCTGACGGGGCTTGGATTAGATCGATCACTCAGGGAGCTCCGTCCTGCAGCCTGGGAGAAGCTCCCCAGGGCCGGGCAGACACAGCGGGTGGGAGAGCCAGAGCTGAGAACTAGGTGGGACACCGAATCTTCAAAACGGGCCACTAATTAGACGTGGAGAAGGAGAGAAAAGGAGAAATACCAAGGAGTTCCCGAGGCCTCCTGGGTCAGCTGGGGGTCGGCTACCAAGAGTCACATTTTGTCTAAAGGAACTTTGCACCCAGGTGGGCTGGAGAGAAATTCAGGAAACACCAGGCAAAACACAAGAGGCTAAATAAAGAAAGGGCACACCCAGGCCCCTGGGTGCTGTGACAGTGCAGGGCCACGGTGAGAAGCGTGGTTTCGGGTGCCCTGCGTTCCAACATCGTAAGCACGTGACTGTGGGCCAAGGTCCGAGACCCTTTGTGTCTCGGTGTCCTCATCTGTACAGCAGAAGTGACAGTCACATTACTTCATTAATTCTTGGAAGTGAAATGAGGCAACACATGTAAAGAGCTTGGAGCGGTGCGGGCTCTGGAACTAGGGATGATGGATGTTAACTATGGGTTCTTAGTTTATATTTTAGGTAACAATGTCAACACCCAAAAAACAAGAGGGCAGTGTACAGATAATGAATCTAAATAAAACAGGCTCACAGCAAATGGCATACCATAATCAACAGAGTCGACCAATCAGTAGACTTAACGTTACATGTGTGGGACAAAGCTTTGGTTTCACTGGGTTGGGAGTTTCTTCCAGATCTTAAACTATCTCATTCAGAAATTGCCAATTTGGGGAACACGGATTCTAGGCAACCTGGGAATTCCCAGGACCATCGGCAAAATACCGTATCTCTTTTTTTTGAGACAGAGTTCAGAAATGGCATCCAAATCTCAAATAAAAACCATAACCAAAAAGAGAGTGAAAACCACTATTTTAGGAGAAAGACAGACAATAGACATTTACAGAAGGTGCCCTGGTGAGAGAGAAAGATGGTTTGATTCGTGTTTACTTATGTAATTTTTTTTTTAAACGAAGTCCTGACTGTCAGAATATCATTAAAACACAAAAGGACCCTCTTACCAGTTGAATCAACAACATCCCTAAACCGTGCTGACAACTGAAGAGATTCTTTGCCATGGGAAAAAAGTGGGTCTTACTACAGTAACAACTAAGTATTTGTATGGATCCTGAAATCTCATCTCCACAACGTTGCCACCCGCCTCTGTCACATGAACTAGTGGGACCAGGGCGGAACCATGGACTCCCTGTGACGCAGAGGCTCACCGCTGCGCTGGGCTGGCATTAATCTCCAGATGAATGTCCTAACGCTGCGTCCTTAGGCAGTTTTCTGTAACTCGAGAGGACAGACTTTAAAGATGCTAAGCCACACGGCTGAGTGGCAGGTGCTAGGCATTACCTCTGGGGTGATGCGCAGACCCGAGACGGACAGGTGGTTCCATATCTAGCCCTCCCTGCGCTCACAGCTCCGCTCCGCTCTCTGCCTTATGGGAGCTCAGTTCCCAGATTAGCAGTACATGTAACCCCACTGGGCCCGCATCCTAATCCCACCGTCTTGGAAAGTACCCAGTAAAGACCCCTGCTTCTCTCTGGAATGCCCTCTTGAATTCCTCAAAAACACACTAAGAAGGCTACTCTGGCATGGAAGTTTCTACAATGCCCACTTTGCAGGAGTATGCCACAATCAAATCAAAAGCGTTAAATGGCAAAGTTAACAAGGAAACCGGTATTTTAAACTGTCCCCATCATTACACCAGGAGATACTCACTGTTTTAAGCAACAGAATTGTCACCAGTCGTGTTAACACGCCTGGCGTCTCGCTTTTATTTTTCCTTTTGTTCCGGGTGATTTTTACTTCTGTGCATATTTTTTCCTTCACAAATATGCTTGGCACGTGCTTTAGATTTACCCTCATTCAGTCGTAAGAACGGAGGGCTGAAAGGGGCTGACTTCACAGACAAGGTAAGTGCAGCCCAGAGGGGCTCACGCCCAGGGTAGCAGGGTGCCCCCCCCCCCCGCCCCTCGCCAAGCTGGGCCCTGCGCCCTGACTGCACCGCGCCCTGTCCCCACTGGGTGAATGAAATGAAAGCGTGTGACCACCTACCCACACACCTTGGCAGAGGCGCGCTCCACACACGACGGCCCCCACCCAGGCACGTAAGCTTGGTTGCACCTTCTAAGCGATACCCCGGGAAGCAGGAAAAAGTCAAAGAGTCCCCGACTCCAAAGTGGAAACCAATTCTTCGGCTGAAGGCAGGGACGCCAGGGTCATCGCAAGGCTCCAGGTCGTATTCTGAGACACGAAGAGAGGAGACAGAGTAAATGTGTGGGAACTTGGGTAAACACTCAAAACTTACTTACCAAGAATTAAAAAAAAAAAACAACGGCTACTATTTTAAAAACCTCACGCGTTGTTTTTCAAACTGCTCTGTAGTGGTTATGTGGATTGGTCTTCTTTGTACCCTAAGCTGGTTCGTGATGAACCGCATGAATTCTAGTATTTTTTTAAATAGATGTGTGACATTAAGATAAGGTGAACATTTTACAGCTGTGACGTAAACCCTATGAAATAATTTTCGCGCTGAAGGTCAAGGATGCTTGGAGAATCAAGCCCACTCAATTAAGCATCAGTGAATGACACCTGGGACAGAGCAGACGCTGGGCAGCTGTGTGTAACCGCTGGTGCATCTGGAGCTCTCTCCCACACTGTCCCATTAGCATCTGCAGACACACTACTGTGACGCGCATCGGGAAATGCCACTTTAGTAAAACCTTCTAAAAACGACAGAAGGAAACCGGGCCGGCAGGAGGAAAGGCAGATAGAAAACCATACTGATTTTGTGCACACATCTGAAGAGCCCCCCAGAAGGGAAAACACTTCATTTGCATGATAAAGTTGTTACTTATTTGGACACTTAAAAAATAAACGCCATTGTATTAGTGTCACTGGCAACTGTTTGCAGCCAGGGTTCAAGGCGAAATTCTTGCAAATGAAATTACTCCTCAGCACACCTGAAGAACAAGCTTAGGGCAGCACTGGCTTTGCAATCCCAGGTGTTGTGTTTTGTTTTGTTTTGTTTTCAAAACTGTCTGAGCCTGTGTGACACAGTCTAGGTTAGGTGACTCCTTCTGCAAGCTTTGCGAATCGTTTCCCATCGGTTGTGTGCAAGTGGATTGGTCCAGGTGTTCAAAAACCGCGACCACCTTAATTTTTAACATTTTAAAATATTTTAAAACTGTTGCAAAGCGCTGCCAAGACCCCGGAAAGTGTGTCTTGTTTCTCGCCTGCTTGTCTGTTTAGGGAGGTTGCGGAAGAAGACAATTAGCCCTAGAGCTGGCTTCTGACCTTTGCTAACCAAAAGGCTTATTGTCAGCTCTGCGCTGGGAGTGACAGAATTAAGAAACAGATGTCATGGAAAGGGTGGGAACGACAGACTTCTGAGACATATCTAGGGGGGAGCCCCACAGAGGTGGGGCGCTGCCAGATTCTTCCTGTGGAATGTTCTAGTTGACTTCATGTTGGATCTCGATGGAAGTTGAGAACAAAGACAGTGACATTCTCATGGTGCCCGAACTGAGACCCAGCAGGAAGGAAGGTACAGAGGAATTAGGCATTAGTGTTAGGAAAATTTAAGTCTTTGTTCCACAGAGTGGCCAATTTCATGATTACCCCTGATTATGGGCAAATTTCCAAGAAATCAAGTTGTCTGAGCTCGTCCCAAGAGCTCCACTAATGCAGTGAAATGCCAAGAAAAATCAACAAAGTCAGGTAAAGATAAATGGCACTGGTTATAATGATGGGGCATATAAAATAGTTCAGAGCATCTTAAAATCCCTAAGAAATCTTTTTCTTTAAGATAGTTATTTCAATGCATATATCACTAAGGACCATGCGATATTGAGTGATTATTAACTTCCTACTGAGTAGAAGACACAGGAATACACCTGCTGCTGATGGAAAGGCGGAAGGTACAGAAACCCCTTTCCTAAGAGTTTTAGCCTTAGAACAGGAGATGAGATAAATACCCAAATACTGTGACGGCGAATCCCGTACGTGGCATCAGAAGTTGCTAAGGAACTTATGGGAGGTCCAAGGGGAAGAAATCACTCCTGACTACGGGACTCAGGAACTACTTAATGAAAACTGCATTAGCTCTGGGCTGGGCGGAGCGGAGTGGAGGAGCACTGTCCTTTCCAAAGCATCACACGCAGAAGTGCAAAAACACCCTTGTGTCCACCCATCAGGATCTTAGAGCAGGAGCGCCCTTGTGTGGGCTGAGGCTGTGTTAGTGCAGGGCCCTGACCATGGTCACTGAGCATCGCTTATGCGATCAAATGCATCTCATAAACGCTTGGCTAATTTTTAAGTGTGGGTACTTTTTCCGCGTCCACAAAACACAGTAATACTATTCACAGCACCATTCACAGTAACAGTGTAACCCAGGCAAACAGCAGAAACCCTTCACATATCATGTAGGTGCCATCACTGAAAGTAAAAATGTCACATGATTTCGGAGCCTGGTTTTGTCTGTGTTCATAACTGCATCAAAGTAAATGAAAACTCATCGTCGGTGGCGTGTGTGTGTGTTTACGCTTCTTCTTTTTTATTGTTTTCACTCTAGGGGAGGTTTTTGAGCCAAGTATTGGCATCCGCTGGAAGGCAGGCACCAAAATAATCTGATGATGGCTTCTCCTGAGAATGTCTCCCAATGGAGACACTTTCCTTGAGATTTTGATAGAACTGATGAGAAGTGAGTGAGAAGGGCTTTTCAGGAGAACTCAGTGATATTAGCAATTTCTCAGGGATGAGAATTTGCAAAGTGCCATTTCGAGGATGCCGGGCAGCGGTCCTAGCGTCTTTCTTCAAGGAGGCTCGGCCCCCTTGGCTCACCAGCTAATGCTCACGACTGCTGGGACATTAACCTGTAATCACGCACGCACAGGCACACGCATACGCTCACACACACAGTGCTATTATTGCCAGAGAAGAGACACGTTAGAGGAGAACAATGTACCTGAGAACGTGATGTTGAAGCCCTCGTAGGAAATGGAAAAGTCTGAGATGAACCGAAGCTGGGCGGTGAAGTTTCCAAACAAACCCGCCTTAATAGTGTGAGGCAGTACAGAGCCAGTGAGTCTGGCCACGGGCTCGGTGAAACTCCCGTCCTCTGTGATCAGTAAATAGTCGTGGGAGCTTTCTAGGTGGAAGGTGTGGAAGATCATCTGAACTCCTGAGAAGCAGAAAAAGAGGGGGGGGGAGGGAGAGATATCAGAGTTAACAGCTAAGGAAAAATCATTTCTTCTGGGCTTAGAGACATCAAACTCTTGAATCAAAAAACAAATCTTAATAAGCAAAACTTTTAAGTTTCAAAGGAAAATACAGAGAATGGATAGAAAGAGTGGACTTAGAAATGAAGAGGGGATAAACGGTAGAAATAAATGCTTAAGGATATGGAAGTATAGGCACAGGTGTAGATTAGACATGGGCTTATGGGTGTAGGCACAGACACAGGTGCAGACAGACACAAACACAGACATAAACACACAGACAGACACAGATATACAAGTACAACATGGCGGGCATTTACAGTAAGCTGCATGTAGGAATGGTGACTAGCATTTATCCCAGAGGAGAGAAGGACCAGGTAACTTTTTCATTTACATTTAACAAATATCTTCTAGGAAACCTTAGGTTGGAGGTCTAGCCATATAAACGTAGGGCCGAGGGGAGAGTTCATTGAAATTATAGATTTATGTGCCTTTTAGGCATCTGTTCTCACGTTAACCATACCGACAAAGGATCAGTGGATTCCTATAGGAAAACGAATAACATTAACTACAAACAGCTCCTTTTAAATAAAAATACTCATTTTTATAGTGACAAACTCAGTCACTCACAATTTGTTTCTGCTTTATTCTTGATTTCCTTCAAGGAAATTCTGAACATGCATTCATGATACCTATGAGCATAGCGTAATATAGGGCACATAATCAAAAATGTCAATTTAGCAGCAACAGAGTCCAAATTAAGTGTAAGACAGTTTGTCTCCATGAGATTGATGTGATCAAAATTTCATATTATCTCCTTAAAAATGACAAGTGTTGTCATACAGAAAACACCCAGGTACAGTCCTAAATCCAGTGTTTATGAACTACATTTCTCACACAAATTACAAATCTTCCTGGCTTTTAGTATGCTTATCTATAAAATGAGGATAATTAAATCTGCTCCAGAAATCATCACTGGATTGTGTGAAGATAAATGACTTACGTATAATAATACTGAGTAAACTTAGAAAATAAGGCAAGTACAAAATTTATCCTAGATGTATCATGGAGATGAAGTTTGGATACTTTACTTCCTTTGACTTCATCAATATTTGTGTTTTCTCCGACGCACGCCTCTTTCCTTGCCAGCACACCTACTTTCCAAACACACGTTGACCTGTATCAATCTAAGTTACCCGATAGAAAGCAGTACAGGGAATCTACTCCTACTGTAGCATCAATGATTCCAGACCACTCTTCTTCTAAAATCATACATAACATCAAAATTACGGTTAAAATAATATGTGAAGAAATCACGTAGCTTACTTGTTCACACATGCATACCTTCTTCTAACCACTCTGTACATATAAAATCCATGTAATATTCTTACCCTTCCCGTGAGACACTTCAATGGTCCATGTACAGTTCAGGGAGTTTGGGTAAAAATCCGGAAACCCTGGGGAAAGGACGGTTCCACTCTTCCCATGGATGTAGCCTCCACAGAGGGCTTTAAATAATAAGGAATATTTATCGCTGTAGTAAATTTTTGCGATGATTGCTAGAATAAAATACTTTTAAAGTGATACTTACTTTGCACAAGGACTAAAAGTGTGTCAAATATCACCTCTATGAAAAACAAAACAAAACTGCAACTTTACCTGCAATTAGCTATCTCATAGAAAGGTGTCCTAAATAGTACAAAACCCAAAAAATAACACAGAGTCAGGTATGGCCAGGAGAGTGGGGTTTTGTGGGTGACTTACCTGGCCAGGGGATCCCCAGATTTGTGGTCAAAGGTTGTTCTGGGTGTATCTGGCACGACGCAGGATGAGATTAACATTTCAACAGGTGGCCTGAGCAAAGCCCACTGCCCTCCCTAATGTGGGTGGGCCTTAGCCAATCAGTGGAAGGCTCCAACAGAACAAAAGGGTGATTCTTCCACAAATAAGGGGAAACTCCCTTTGTCTGACTGCCTTTGAACAGATAATCTCATCAGGTTATTTATTTATTTTTTTCCTACCTTTGGACTCTTTCTGAGTCTCAAGCCTGACAGCCTCCAGCCTAGAATTCACACCATCCGCTCTCCTGTGTTTCCAGCTGTCCACTGCAAGTCTTGGGACTGGACAGCCTCCACAACATGTAAACCAATTCCTTATAATAAATCCCTCTCCTCCCTCTCTCTCCCTTTCTCTCTCCCTCTCCCTCCCTTTCTCTCTCCTTCTCTTTCTCTCTCTGCGCGCGCGCGCGCGCACACACACCCCCACTGGTTCTTTTTCTCTAGACAACTCTGACTTGCACAATTACAGCTTCAGAAATGGTGCAGGTTTGCATTTTTTTAGAGTTGACGGTTTTAGTGGTTCTTCAGTGGATTTAAATCCTCAACAAGACGACCTGTTCAATGTGTCTTAGAGACTAATTTCTTTAATCTTTTTTTTGATTATTATTTTCGAAAGAGAGATTGAGAGAGAGAGAGAGCAAGTGCACATGTGCTTGTGGGAGGGGCAGAGAGAAGGAGAAAGAGATTCTTAAGCAGGCTCCACACCCGATGCGGGGCTTGATCCCAGGACCCTGGAATCACAACCTGAGCTGAAATCAAGAGTCGTTAGCTCAACCGACTGAGCCAATCAGGCACCCTGAGACTCATTTCTGAATAAAGAAAAAGGTTATATGCAATCATGTGAATGAGAAAGTAGAGACATTGAGGGAATCGATGGAATAGGGAAGTTTCAGTTCTCAATCTGTTACCATGTGCTCTCCACGCACACATGTAACCAAGCTTCCTTTTTGGAACTCGGTAAGATTATCATTAAATGACTGATACCTGAAGTAATGTTCTCCTATTAGAATGAACATCCTGAACTGTGTCTCATAAAGCTAGTTCCATAAAGTAACAGCTGCGGAAGAATTAGCGAGTTTGTGAAGGATGCAATCTTCGTATCATGCTCACGCATCATGTGTTTTAAGGGAGTAGATAATCTCTTTGAAAATGTAAACCACATGGGAAGAGTTACATAAAAATCAGCAAAACAGAAACTTCTTGAGTGAGTTCTAGCCAATTTTAACGGTGGAGGATTGTCACGTCTTAAAATTAGGTTGACTCCATCTCATTACGAAACAGGTAGTGTTAATATAACATTTGGAATTAATTTGTTCCACAAAGGGCCAGACACTGCCCTCAGCCCTGGAAATGGTGAACAAAACAGACAAAAGTCCTTGCCCTCAGAGAGTCACCACTGCGGTTGAAGGAGAGAGACTATTTCTGCAATAATGTAAAGAGTAGATTATACATGATGTTGGGAGATGGTAAGCACCAGGGGAGAAAATGAAGAGGGAGAGAAGAAGGCCAGGGAATTCTCCGCACTGTGTGGGGTTGGGGGCCACCTGTGCAGGTGGGCAGGGAAGCGTACTTGGGAGGTGGCCCATGAAGAGACCCTGGAGACCAAGGAGGGAGCGGCTGGAGACCTGGGAAGAACTTGTGTGCAGAGACAAGCACTGGGACCAGGCCTGAGTAGGGCTGTGGGTGGGACGTGCCCCAGGGCAGCTGAGAGGGAGGGGGCTGGAGAAGCCAGGATGAACAGTATCTAGAGGGTGGGGGCCTTGCCACTTGTCTGAGTGAGGTGTAGGGCCCTGGAGGCTCCTGTGGGGCAGGACAGGCGCTAACTGGGCCTTTTTCCAGGGCGCTGGGCGAGAATGGCGTGAGGCTGGCAGAGGGTCCAGCGGGTAGGACACGACGGCAGATGTCGAAGAAAGTGGGGAGGACCTCGCCATGGTTTCAAGGCAGAGCCACTGGGCTTTTTTCATGAATGGGATGTGGACGCCATGACAGAAAAACAAAAAAAATAAAAATTAAAAGAGCGTGAAGGAACTGAAGGTGCGGCAGACTCTGGGGTGTAGACCAGCTCAGTCTCAGGTCCCCGAAGCTGGATGCCTACTGCACATCCACGCAGAACATCTGTCGTGGCAGCTGGACTCACAAGTCCCCCCAGGGGATGGGAGCAAGAACAGGAGCCCTGGAGACCACCCTCCCAATGGATGTGGATGAAGAAGCCAAACCCGCTCTCTCCAGGGCTAACCGGCCCAGGGAGGTGAGAAGCTTCAACACAGGACATGAGAAAGGTAGCCGTGGCCTGGGACAAGACCGGGGACAGAATGCAGCCTCCAGCACAGCAGCTACCTAGGAGCAACTTTCTATGTGTCTGTGATTGGATCAGGGTAGATCGGGACGTTAGCTTCTCAAATATTTACCAAGGAGGGAAGCATAACAAGTGGAAACCATGTGATGTCAAGTTGAGGTATCACATATGCAGTTATTTGTAGTAACCTTTACCTTAAAACCTGCACATGCTGGAGAAAAGGGATAAAAATAATCTATATCCAGCTACACTTAAGACACTATAAAATTCATCAATCTCTGTTTCACCCTCTGTCTTCATGCCATCAGGATAAAATGGTGGGTCGTACACTGGGAGAAGCTTGGGAGGAGAGACCTCTGACCACTGATGTTTCCATCAGTTCAACACCGAACTCACAAAGCACGAACCCACACCATCGAGGCGCCGTTTAGGAGCAAGGTAAGAAAGAAAGATACCGATGAAGTAAATCAGTAAATCTGCGGCTCGTTTTGATTCATGTATGTGCAAACGCAACACAGTCTTCACGCATTATCAAGAGTTTTGAATAGAAATAATTTCATCCACAAAGCGTCCTTTTTTGTTTTGCCTTCTTTTTTTAGAGAAAGGAGATTTGAGGTACACAATTGTACTGGTATTCCCGCCTGACACCGAAGAGGGAAGAGAGTGAAATAAGGGAACTGCTTTCGTTTTTACTGTCCACATGGGCCTCTGGCCACATCCTCACAGACAAGTCTCCATTCCCTTGGAAGCGCCACAGGGAGCAGGGCATGTAGTCTGAATGACAATAATCTGTTTCTTCCTGCAGTGCACAGTCTTTTCCGGTAGTTCTAAAAAGCACAGTAAACCTTTACTTTTGCTATCCTTAGGGCCATAATTTCTTGAATTTCACTTTTCTATTTATGTCACCTACCCACCGTCAGAGACCCAGAGACATTACACCGGCAACCTCTCGGGAAAACGGAGACGTACAGAAAGGAGGAAAGACAAGACAGATGAACGTATACGCAGTCTTCCGCAAACATGTCTCGAGCTCTGCCTCTGGCTCTACTTTAATTCCTTCATCCACCCACACCTCCATCCGAAATGACTTACTGAGGAATTCACTGGTATTTTCCAGGCCCACGCAAGCTCTTGGGCGCACAGCAACGAGTAGACAAAACACTCTTCTTCCAAAGTTCGCATTCCAGTGGGCCAGAAAAATAACTTGTGGAGGTGACTAATCAGGACTAAGAACAAGGGTCTGAACACGTTCTCGGAACTCACAGGCGGTCTAGGGAATTAGAGCACGGTGGGGTGGGCTGGGGGGGCCGCCGAGTCCATCTGCGCAGGTGTCCGGGCCAATGGGATGTGGACCGTTGAGTGGGCGATACAAGGATGGAGGGGGCACGGGCGGTCTGAGCGGACCCCGTGTTCACAGACTGCCCTGTGACAGGCCGCCAGCTGCCAGTGTCCTGGAGAGTCTTGGGGGTCTAGGGGTGTCCTTGGCAAAGCCCCCAGACCACCCGCGGACCCTGCGGGTGTCCACTTCCTGTCGCCGGACCCTGCCCAGAGGCCTGTGATGTGTCCCAGTGTGCGGACACGAGCTCGTAGAGCCCAAACCCCGGCTTCAGTGTTCACTTCTCCGTGTCTCCTCTGCCTGGACCAGAGGCAGGCCAGAGGAATCGGAGCGGACGGCCTCTCCTCGCTCCCCTGAAAATACCCTTTGTTTCCACAGCACCGACTCTGAGGACCAACCTGCTGGCTCCCAAAATCGTGTCTGAAACACTGGCTTCCTTCTCAGGCCACGGCTGAGTTTCCCACTGCCGGCGAAGGCCCTTGGAATGTAACCTCCGGGGCCCTGTCTTCACAGCCACTTTCTGTTTCTCACCTCTCACGCTTGGTGAAACTGGAGTGTTTCAGGCCTTCTTTGTGTGATTTATGTCCCAGCTCCTGCCTTCCTGTCTCTTCCTCAGAGAGATTAACGTGTGAAAGCACACAGTATTCCGTCTGCTTTGTCCCTCTTTTCTTATTTTCCGTTTTCCTTGTTCGCTTTAAACTACTAATAAAGTTCTATCTGAAGCAAAAATTTAATGGGGTGACATTCTATTTCCAAATATCCGTGGCCTCTCCATGTCCTACAGAGTTATTAAGTTTACTCATTCGTTCACTCATTTGTTCCACCATTCATTCACGTATTTATACTGAATCTTTTATCTAAAATAAATAAATCTTACGTGGAAACCCTACCAATAAAAGGGGGAATAATTTAGAGCTGTTCAGTTAAAGCAGGGGGTGTATTTCAAGCCCTGCTATCATCCTCAGTTTTTTCTCAAAGAAGGCTGGAGTCCCACTCTGGGACCATGGCGCCCCGTGGTTTCAAGTCTTGCCAAGGAAA